AATGCCACCTCCTGCAGCCTCTAGTGACCTGCTTCCTTCCATCCCTTTCCCAAAGGACGCTGCTTGTCCTGTCATCCTGTCCTTTCCTCCATCTTGGAACATCTCCCTCCCTTCCAGAGGGGTTTATCCCTCTCCCAGTTGCCTTACTAATACTTTGCCATCCCAGAGGTTCGGAGATTGGAAGATGAAAGGAAGAGAAAGAAGCACAATGTGGAGAGAGGGCAAAGCATCAAGGGTAGTGTCAGCTCAGTCCCCACCCCTCTACTGTATATATTCTAATTATTTATCCTTACAAGAGAAAGTAACTCTTACAGTAAGAAAAATAACTGACATTTTTGGAATTAGGTGTGGGAGATTTTTGTTGTTTGGTTTTTTTTTAAACATGGTCTTTGGAAGAAATTACTATGATAACAATAGAATATATATTATAACTGTATGAAAAATTTTATATATACAAGCAAAAGGAGGAGATTCAAATTTAAAAAAACCCAACCAACCAGGTTTGAATGTAGAGTGCTGGCTCTTTTAGAACAGGTGTTGCAGCCTGCACTTAGCTTTAGGTATCATGTTTCACCCTGCTCAGGATGCATTTCTCTGCAGGATCACTATTCACCCATTAGAGAGAAGGACCCTCCTGCAGAGGATGACTCAGATCACCGAAGCCAAGCTCCTGCTCTGAATTATCCTTGAACAGTCCATGTCTCTGCATGTGCTCTGTCCAGAGCTGGAGGTGACTACCCTTCTTATGTAGGAACCTGAGTTATGTGCATAAAGGCAGCTGGTGTGACTGCCCTCCAACATTTGTACTACAGTCCTGTTATGATGATTTCCAAATTCTAGGGTGTGTTAAGGAGTTAGAATGAACTGACTCTCTGTGGGAAGAGTCATTTAGCCACCAGACACATGTGCTTTCTTATCATGTCTTCATAAGCACAACTTTACCAAACTGAATTATAGTTGCAGCAGTACTTGAATTCCAAGTCTCTTCCTATTTCATTCCACAATGAAATATTAATTTTCAAGGAGCAGATGAAGTATTTCTTTTTGAACAAATATTTACTATTTCAAAGTAAAACATGAAGCTGGGTTTTTTTTCCCCAGATCAATTTGTATGATATTTGTGAGGATGTTTTTATATGGGCCAATACAGAAATAGGTTAAAAAGAAACATAATGTGTGTGTAATATGACAAAAGTAATGATCTGACTCAAAATACAGACTTTCTTGCAGATTTACTCTCGGTTCTTATTTTTTCTTCATTAACAAAATAGTTTGGCATGACTAGATTTTCTTCCTTCTTCTCTCTCTTCCCCTTTCAAGTATTAAATTTCTTCCTTCCTCACCTTCCCCACAAAGTTAAGAAACAGTTTGTTTTCAGGTCTGTTTTAAGCCTCTGAACCTGCACATCAAATAAACCAAGCTAGTTCCTCAGTGGATGAAAGATGGAGGAGAAATTATTAATAAGCTTCTTATTGACTCAATGTGCTTCAGCAGGGACCCAAATAGTTTATTCTGTTTTATACTTGGAGATATATGCAAGGCTATTTCTGTGCAGCCACTGTCAAATGATGGTGATGATAGTGGTGTAAAGGAAAAGGATTCAAATCAAAAGATTTACACTACTTAACACAAAAAGAGCTTTAGCCTTTAAACATGCAACATTCTCCATAATATTAAGGCAACTAAACGTAGACTTTCTTTTGATTGTTAAACCAGCAAAATGTTCAGCAAACCCCCTTACTTGGTCCTTGAGACTTGGCTTCCATATTGCCAGTGACACAAATGCCAGCCTAAACCAGCAGGTGTTCAGAAATAGTTATTGTAATGGAAACTTTAGAGACTCACAGTGGAGCTCACTAAAACATAATACCATTTTCATTACTTTGTCAGCAACTTTATTTCCCACTGCAGCCATGGAAGCTCTTTGCTGGAGTTTTTTCTTCCTTGCAGCTGAACCTTGGCGTGCAGAGTGAAACATTTTGGTGGAATGTTTCAGTCTTTGAAAGGCTTTGGTCTGACTGTGTTCATGCACCTTTTGTTTTCTCTGAATGTTTGGTTCCTGAGACTTACTGGCATGAATGTTCAAAATGAATTTTAAAGATGCATATGCATGTCACCGTGGAAACTGATGGCCCAACTCAAACAGCAGAGCTGCTGCTGGGATGATTGTGTGCTTTATCCAGCTTGGGCATGGAAGCAGTGCCATGTGAATTGTCTGAACAGCCACACAGCAACTGCAGTGGTTACGACTGGCAGAAACTTCTCTGCCATTGATCTGATGAGGGTAAGGACATCTCATGACTGTGAAATGATCCTAAATTAACGCAGCTGAGAGAAGTGTATTTGTGCAAGCTATTAATAGATAAGAAAGATAAAATGGACATTTTTTTGACCTTACTCATTTGTTCAACTCAATCTCGGTCTTCAGTCCTCTGTCTTCACTTGTTGATATGTTAATGCATTGCCTGTGGCCTCACAAGTCAATGACTGGTGAGGACTCACACTTGGCTTTGCAACTTCATTTCAAGATTATATTTGAGAACTGTGAAAGAGAAAACATTCATATCCTGCTTGTGGAACAAAGCATTTTCTTTTTAATTTACCTCTAGTGGGATGGACGGGAAGCCGGTTGTTTTGCTTTGCAAGATATTAGTTATTATTGTGCTCTGTGGAAAAAAAATGCTGCAGTGAGCCAAAAGTTTCATTGTTTTGTGGCTCTTTATGGCAGTCCTATATTTTCTGGCAGTCACCATAAGGCTAGACACTTCACAAACATCTGCACTAGAGAAACAGACTGTAGATTTGTAAGAATATTCACTGTTTGGTAAACTGAATCAGTGTAATTAGTTGATTCCTATGATATAATTCCTAGAATAGCAAAGGGGTTTTTTTACTTAGCCTAATATATTGCTCTTTGCAGTTCCTTTAATTCATAATTTCCATCAATCCATGCATATAATGCATTCCCCAAATTGATGAAGAAGTCAAAAAATATGAAGGCTTGTAGTAATTAAGTGATACAGAAAATTTTGCTAGACTTGGTAGTGTAGCTGTATAGTAATTTACTCAGCATTGTACTTCTGTAGTTGAAACTTTCTTTCTTCTGGGTTAAAGTGCTTCATTTTTTCATCACAGCTAGGTAAAGTGATAGGAAATTTTTTTCCCCCCCTCAACTTCAAGGAAGCAACAGTCTGTACTGTACAGCCTTACAGCACCCCAGGGAAGTGGGTGAAAGAAGAAATGAAATAGAAAATATGCCCACCTTTCATGAAGTGGCACCTTTAAGCCTGGCTGTGTGGCACATGCTTTTCACAGGCTTCAGTATTCAGCCGGGGGTCACAAAAAAGGGTTTCACAGAGGGCCTTGGGTTTGAGCCCGCCATAGATAAAACAGAAAAGTAATTACCCCCTTCTTAGCAAAAAGAGAAATTAATCACTTAGCATTAAATTAATTGCTAAAGCACTTTATGCCCTTGGGGTCCTTTTCTGAGCTAGTTTTAATAAATATGAATTTCAGACGGCACAAAATCCAAATTGTGCCAATTTCTGGGAATAAAAATCATGGTTTTTCTATCCTTTAGTGTTTGATTTATTCGTAGCTGTTTTGAGAAGTTCATGCATTACAATTTTGGTGTTATTGTCTGCTAAAGATTTTCCCTCCGTTCCTTTTATTGGCCCCATTTCTCCCACACACAAATCCACAAAGCCACAGATGCTCCATTACAATGATGTCAGTCTTGCTACATGCTCCAGCTGTTTGGTAGGTACATTTATAAAGTTCAGCCTTTTACATTATGCCATAAATGTATATTTCATGTATAAACATAAAGCTAACATATTGCAGATCACTCTAAGTGTAATTTTAATGGAGGTTCAGTAAGTTTAAAAAATACTGAAAAGTGTTTAATCTTTCCGTTGGCAAGATTTTTGTAGTAAGTTTTCCAATATTTTTTTTTCTTAGGGTAGGTTTGAATATTCCTTGCCCTCTCCACTATTTCGTCTTCTGTGATCTTTGGAAAAAGCAGGGAGTTATTTTAGTAAGACAATATGTATTTTAAAGAAAGATGTCTAAGGAAAAATATGTTTCTCTCCACATCTTCTTGGTGCTCAAACCCTCACTTAACGTTCTGTACATTTACCAGCAAACCACGCTGAAAAACACCTTATTCCTGGAATTGTCAGATTTCAATGATATTTGATATGGCAGATACTCTGCTGATATGGTATATAAATTCTAACAGATTATTTTAAAAATTCATCGAGAATTGGATCTGAACCCTTTCTTTGTGTTGTGTCCTGAATTTCAAAAAAATGCCAAACAGTGCCTGTTTGGCTCTGCCTTCTGCCCCTTTTCTCTGTGGTATGTGCTTAAGGGTTCAGCTCATTGAAACTCCTGTGCCCACAGAATCCTTCCCTGGTCTCCCCTGGGTGTTTTCCTTCTTATAAGCCATGTCTTTATTTTTCTCTCCCCTTTTTAGTTGCCTTCTTTGTCTTAATTCAAATGTGGTGCTGAGCTATCACCATATTTGTACCACAAAGTCATCATTATTCTAAAATAAATCTCCCCACTTAGGAAGATTTTGAGGCTCAATCTCTGTTTTGTTGGCTCAGTAATACAATGGCTCTCAAGAGGACAGATGGAAGCTGAGATCAGTAGTTCCTGCTGCTTCAAGTGAAACCCAGAGTGCATCAAGGCCCTAATACCGTTGTAGAGGCTAAAGTTTGGGACCATGAGCTCTCAGTACATGGCTGCAGAAGAACCTTCCTTATTTTTGGGGTTCAGTTTCATTCCAGACCATAAACACACAGCTGGGTGTACATAATAGAGTGGGCACTGCCCAGTGCCTTCTGCTTCTACAAGGTGTGGAGATACAACAAAAAGTCAGTGGTACTTGTGACAGTATTACAGGCAGTGCTGACAAGTTCAGAAAAACCTAACAGGACCTGTGGCTCAGAAATGCAGATAATGTCACCATTATTTGTTTTCTTTTTAATTTGCAGGTCTTTTGTTATCCAGCAAATCCCAAGCAGCAACCTCTTCATGGTGGTAGTAGATAATGAATGCTTCTGTGATTCTGTCCCACCAATTACCATGGCACCTATAGAAATAAGGTATATCCTTTTCTCTACAAATTTGTCAGAAAGAGATTCAAGATGCAAATATTGGAAGATCTTTTATAATGTAAAACTTGCATTGCATGACATCATCACCCATAAAGTGCTGGGGCTGTTTGAAATGAAGCCAGCTAGAATGTGTTCTTTTTTTTTTAATGAGAATTCACTTTTTATTTTTTTTTAAATGGCCAGTATGAATTAAGCAAACACATTATGTGGATCTTTAGGTAGAATAAAGTCATAGTCACCTTTAGCTAGCTGAACATGTTACAAATTAGGCCTTAACTATGTAATTTCCTTATAAGAGTTGAGTTCCTGATATTGGAACTTATAAAACTCCGTGCTATAGAGATACCTCTTTATTTTAGGTTTAAACTGGAGCATTGAAAATGTTTCAGAATCCTGCTTTCCAAAAGTATAGCAATGTAACAAAGTAAATATATCACTTGAGTTTTAGTTGCCCCACTTCCTATTTTGTGCTGTTCTGTACTTCAGGATTTGTTTTCTGCCATAAGCTGGAATTTGCCAAAAGCAGCCTGCAGTGTGCTTTTGTTGCACACTTAGAGAAAGACAAGTTAGCAGTGTAAATGCACATGATACTGTCAAAACTATGGAGAGGAAAGCACTAGAATTACTTTCTTTTTCTTGTGGTAACCACACATATCACCTTGGGGGTTTGATGGAGAGGGAGGAAGGAGCTAAAAGATTTTCACTGTGTTCATTTCAACATACTCCCATAAAAATGCAGTTCTCAGAACATCCCTCCTTAACTGCCTTGTACATAATGAATCCCTTAAATGTGAACGTTTAAAATCTCAGAAGATAAGACGACGCCCAGAATCTTGTCATGGATTTCACCCTGAAGTAAGTTTCTTTTCCTTTCTTTTGGACTCTGGTAGATATTTCATTTCTTTAAAAAAAAAAAGTAAATAGGAAAACTATCTTCCAAAATGAAATGTCAGGAAATACTCGGAAAACGCTCAGTATTAAGAGAAGTGAGTTACATTGTAAGTGCTGCAAATGTTTTTTGTGTTCATATTCAATGTCTTGACTTGCTGCTTTAGCAGACTGCTTTGTATCACGTAAGAGAATGTGGTAGGATATGAGCACAAACAGGCAGCCAGGAATATCTGAGAACTTGCTCTGGCTCAAACATTGACCACAAGATTCCTCATTAGAGATGGTTGGGAACTTTGTGCTGTTAATGTTTCTCTCAGTAACCGGCGGCAGCAGCTCAGCTGTCATGCAATACTCGTTATGTTCGTATAATATTGCTTGGGTGGGAGAGTGATCGTTCTGCTACACGTATTTGCTACTCTGTGTTCTGCATAATACTCTTTGTACACGCCAAGGAGATCTCGTAGAGACTGAGATGTGATTACAGTGGCTTGTACAGCACATGTTCATAGACATCCTTTTTACTCTGGAGTAGCTTTATTTCACACTCTGACGGTGTAATGGAATGTAGAATGAGACATAAAATATGGTGGGGAGGGAATTTGTAATCCTTGTTGAGAATGCTCACTTTCAGTCTACAATCCCCACTTGTTCCACTCAAAAGGTGCACCTGTATTACTTCCTGAGTAATACAGGTTTAATTCGTGGGTTTTGTTGTTTGCACCAGTGTTCTTATGCCTCTGAAGTTTGGTAAATAATCATAATTGAGTGTAATGGCTTGTATTTATTTTCATTTGTTTGTTTGTTTGTTTTTCTTTAGGAAAATGCAAGGGAATGTGGTGGTGTCTCAGGCCTTAGTGCTAAACCTTCTCTTGTTCTTCTTCCTCTGCTATTGACAATTTTCTCAAGGTGACATTGACTGATGTGTTCAATTGGCATGCTAATCCATGGATAAACTGTGAACTGGGAAATGGTGCAACATAGAGGACATGAAATATAGTCAGAGCATCAGCATTTCATGATTTTAAACTGTTGGTGATATAAATTCCTAAAGATATGTTGAAAAAAGATTTATCTTTTTACTTTGCGAGTCATGCAGATGTGAATTTGGCATATGGTAGTCATGATTCATCAAAAAAGGACTTGGTAGATAGAGGTGACCATCGCTTTGTCCCATTGAAAACAATTTCAGACTGTGTAATTTTTTCAATAAAGTATATTAAAATCACAGTTTCAGAGTGTATTTTAAGTATGCTAATATATATGTTCCAATAATGAATGATGGGAAGAAAATAAAATAAATGGAAGATCTTTTATTATGCTTTTAGCCTGTTTCTGAGAAGATTCAGAGAAGAAAATGTGGAGCTTTTACAATAAGGCAGGATAGATTTTATTAACAAATAAGTAAACACCTGTGTGTGTATGAAGGTAACATGTGGTGCTGAAATATAGTGAAGTTTTGGGTTCTGGAAATAGCCATAAAACATCTTATCTGCATTTAGAAAGTGAGCCAAAGCCTTATTTAAGCCTTGTCCCTAACTTGAGCAAGCTTTGGATCAAATGGGTTGATTTGGTTGCAGATGGCAAAAGTAAGTACTTTTCATATGTTTCAATTTATGGGAAGATATGTAAAATAGCCCTTATAAAAGGATGACACTGTTCTGTTGGAGTTCTGCCCTTTAGATGTCATGTCAGCTTGGAGAAGCTTGTTAGGAGAAAATTCATGAGCAGAAAAAGTTGGTCTTGCAACACATCTGTGTCAGCAGAACTCACTATTGTTTTTCACTGGGGCTCCCTGTCAGTGTGCAAAGATCAAGACCAGTATTTTTTTATTCTAGGCCTTATATTCTTCTTTGTAAGGGAAATGAGAAAATAAAGATGAGTATATTCCTCTTGCAATTGGTAGCAGCGTCCCTATTGTGGATATATTTGCTGAAGATCTTGATCTTTGAACTATATTAATCTTTCAGTTTATCGTTGGAGTTTTATATGAAGTAGAATGCTATAAAAATAACATGGCCTCTTAACAATATAATACATTAAATGCAAAATAAAATGCCACTGTTCTAAATCTGGTGCTTGAAGATTGCTGTTTCCTGGTTGGGAGTAAATATGCTTTTTAGCCTTAGATAAACGCTAAGCAGATTTTAGCTGGGAATAGGGAGCAAGGCCACTGAGAGGGGCTTTGTTTTAAGGAATACTATCCAGCTTGTAAGAGGAAGAACTAGTGAAATAAAATTTCCACTTCAATGCTTTAATGGGTTCAAATGCACTGGTACTTCCTCTGATTCTGAAACCATACAGGTCTTTGTCTGGACTCTTAATTTTTTTTTCCTCACCTTATTTTTTTTAGGAGTTTTTCCTACAGTCTTCTCTGTCCTTGCTTGTTGGTCTGAAAATCACTCACTGTGGAATAATTTTCCAGCTGACATTCAGTCAATCTGTTGTCTTAGTGACATGAGCTAAGCTGTTTACTGAGCTAATTGGGAATTCAAGGCATTTTCTCCACTTGGACCCACACAGATATCCTGCCATTCTTTGCTTGGTTTTTCTCTGAGCTCCATTCCCCCTTACCCTCCATCATTCTCTCAAAAACTCAAGTCAATACTTTATAAATAAAGTATTTTAGTTCCTGATTTTCCCTCTGAGTTTCCAGAATGCACAACACCGCAGCCTCATAATGCTTTTGTATGTCTGATGCTTGTTCTTTTGCAGTGCTACTTAAGTGGGGAAATGTTTATAAGCCACACAATCCAGGTGATTTTTCCTTGTTAGTAGGAAGTGGAAATAAAAATCTTTCTCATTAGAGCTATTGAAAAGCTCTGTATACATCTGCCTGATGTATAAATCATCATTGCTTACAAAGAAAGGAAATGCATTAAAGGAGAAAATTTATTTCTACAGAACATAGATGAAAATGCATAATAATAATTCATTGCTAATTTTTGAAAGAATTGGGCAGATTTTAAATTAGAAAGGAGCAAAGGAGTGACAAGGAAGATTATAATGTAATGGACTAAATTAATATTGTGAAAGAGATTAAAGTATGTGTATGTAAATTAATATTGCTCAGGGAAATGTGACAGTTCATTTTCATCCATTAAGACACAGTTATAAAGGCAGAATGCATTGGTGTACACAAACAAGTTACTTTGTGAAACAGAATAATCCAAATAAGTCGTTAAACAACTGTAAAAACATTTTAATGAGTTGCCATTTCTCTGCTAACAAAGACACCTTTTTAATTTTGTGTTTATTCCTTTAGAAGTTTCTCATGCAGCGTGAATCCAGGTTGGTAAAGCCAGTAGTTCAGGAGAAAGGGACATGAGGCCAACTGGCTCAGTGGTGTGTGGATGCACCAGTAAAATCACTTCTCCAAAGTGAAGAGGCTGCAATGCCAACAGCCTGTGTCAGAGCACAGAAACAGTGATTATGAGTTCTATGGGACAGAGTTTGCTGACATGGGCCGAAAACATGGCCAGGGCTGGTTGAAACAGTTTTATGGAAAGGCTGATCCCATGCTAACGCATAGGAATGTTCCTGACTGCTGCTGAGTTTACCAGTCTGTTTGTCATCATTAGCTCTGAAACACTGAGAAGGTGTGAAGGTACCATACCATGAAGTGGGTCAGTGCTGTCCATACCCGTGGTAGGTCATAGAAAGTGAAATTAAATTCCATAACCTCGCTAATCATAGGCGCTACTCTTCTTGAATCCTAAAATTATTATGCAAGGTCTGATGCAAAGTCCAGCGTAGTCAAAAGCAAAACGTGTATACATACAGCTGCATATATGTAAACTACACACATGTTTAATAAAGAGAAATTTCAGACATCTTCTGTATTTTTTAACTCCCTGAATCTGAGGACAAATCCGAGAAGAACCAGGACAAACTGTACAATCAGTTTGTACGCAGCGAGAGGCAGAGCTGAAAGCTTTAGCTTCTGCAGGGCTTGGATCTTTTTTCCTTCTTTACTCTCTTTGCTAATGGCATTGATTTGCAACTTATTAGCCCCAGCTGCCTCGTCTTCCTTTAATCTTGATAAAGTGAAAGCTGTCTGGGGGCTCAGGGCTGGCCAAGGACACACCATTTTCTGATGGCTTTGTGTGGGAAAACTGTCCATAACTGTCAGTGCGGCAAACTCTCCTTTAAAATCCTGTAAGCCAGAGAGCCTCAGGCAGGTTTCTGCAGCTGTGCTATCTCCTCTCATTGTTTTTGTGTCACTGAGACTGCCTGACCCACTGTGTTTGGCTGCCAGGGCCAGCTCTGCAATATGTATGCTCAGTGACACAGGTGGTTGCCCAGGGCAAGAAGATATTAAAAGCAGCAGTAATTGTTTCATTGCCTAAATGGCTTCAAGAAACTGTTTCAGTTTTCTGATAGCAGGAGCCCCTAAACAAGGCACTGGTCTGTTTAGCCCTTTGGGTTCACAAGGCAAGATAGAGGTTTGGCTCAGAAGGTTTGTGGCTAGAAGACTCCAGTTATTTCCACGTGTTTCCTGAGCCTTTTATGGCCTCCAAGGACTTTTATATCTTGGGACTTTCTGTGCCTGAGAAATTCTAACTCATGTGAGTTTAATGTAAATTGGAAAGTTTTCTGTGGAAGAGCGCATCAAAACCTTTCAACCATGGAAAATATTTTTATTTAATTTTCCTACTTGATTATTCTTTTCCCTGAACTGCCCAAGATACTCCCAATAATATGGGCTTTTTTCCTACTTGTTCAAATTCTTCCCCATGGGTCTGAAGGATTTTACTATGTATTTAGATGACTTGCTATTTATCTGGTGTACAGCAATGTATTCTCTCTGACAGGTCCAGCTCCCATGTATCTACTGAGAGAGAAATGGTTCCCATGTACAGCATCTTCAGAGTATCTCACTGGAGTTTATCACAATCCAGTCTGAAGTCAATTTTCTTCTCTCTTTACCCTTTGACCCTTAGTCTCAGATCATATTTCTTCTAATATAATAATATTCTTGCTATAATTCCTTGGGAGGATTTATGTCCTCTTCAACAGTCAGTCTTATGTTTCTTCCCAAGAACACTTTTTGGAACTGGATGTTATAACTTGGATATATCAAGTCATAGTCTATTCTTGTGATTCTCTGAGTGGAAGGATATGTTTCCAACTCTTCCTGTCTTCTTTTCCTTCTTCCCATGGTAACTGTGGTCAACTAAGCAAATGTTATTTTATTGTTTGCACTTCAGTACAAATTATAGTCCACAGTTCTGCCTAGCAGATGCTTTGAAGAATTTCAAAGCACAGTGTTAATCTAGGAAGAACCCATTGATTTTCTTTGGATTAGAGTGGGAACAAGAGGCACTTCTGCATTATGGTTGCTTTGGATCCAAGTTAAAAATGGTAAAACAAAGCTGTATAACCCTTCAGTAAGTAGCATTAACAAAATGTATGCAATATATTTTAAAACAAATGTATCCCTTACAGAACATTTGTTCAGTGCCAGATGGCTGCTTTATGGTCAGTTTTAAGGATGTGAAACTTTGCTTGCAGAATGAGATCCTGTTGAAACTGAAATGAGAGTAAATAAGTCATGCTCTTTCATTGTGAAAGCACTGCATGCCCATGTATGCATATGTTAAATATCTAATTACTGAGGCTTCCTTTAGTTCTGTAATTTTTAAAAAGGCACATTTAATTAAACATAAAAAAGTAATTAAAGGGTGGTAACTACATTTTTCAATTATTTTCTCCTAAGTCTGATGGTACCTTACTTAAGAGTAGCCAGTTGAGCTGTGGATTGATTCAGCCATCCAACTGATAAGATGTTGAAACCTTAAGAAGATAATTTCCCTCTCAACAGTTGTAGCAGATTCGATTGCTCATCCTTGTGGCAGAAATAACCAGGTAATTTTGTTTGTGTCACTCTACCCTCTAACACCTCACCAGGTGTCAAAAGCTCACATGTTTTTTCTCTGCTCTGCTGCTAACAATTTCTGGCAGCATATGGGGCGTCTTGACTATGCCAAGATTTTTGGGTAATTCTCACAAAATTGACAAAATAGTATTAAAAAAAATCAATGCAGTATCAAAATAAGTGGCATGAAAGCAACTGTGTTCCCTGTGATATTTTCATTATTCATTGTAAGTCCTTTGTTATTGTTATGTTAAATGGAATTGCGACGGAATTTCCAGTTTGTCATGTCACAGTGCTGCGAAATTCAAGATGCTTTTGAAGAGTTGAGTTCTAGTTCATTCAAGTAGTGCAG